GAGAGAGGGGGCGCGCATCCGGGTAGGCAGAAGACACAGTCGGATGAGGAGGATTCGCATAGACGAGGCGTAACAACGGCGAAGGAGGTCGCCGCTTCTGTGGAGAAGCAGAGGCTGGGTGGAGGCGAAGGTGAATGGCAAAGTAGCGACGAGCGAAGTTACCTGTGGCACGAGCCGAACTAGAGGCAACGCGGCGGAGTCTTGGGAACGAGGTAGAGAATATGAATGGTAGGTAAGAGAGTCGGCATGAGGCTGGAGGCTTACGTTTTCTGCTGTCGATGACTGCATTAGGTTATTTTCGTACTCTCTACTCGATTGCCGTGCGAGCGGCCCACCCGCCCTCCCACTAACAGCCAAATGGCTGATCGGAATTGTCTTTGAAGGGTTTGGGTACCGCGGGAGTGTGGTCGCAGACGCAATGGCCTTCCCCACAATAAGTTAGTAGTGAGTACGGATCACGCGATGACGTTTAAGCAATAGCTGCGTCTTACGTTGATAGTACAACAGTTGTACGGATTCCAGATCTGTTGCTGTCCCGTTTCAGGACAGAAGTGACTAGAGCTTCTGCTGAATGGTACCCTGTCAGCTTGTCAGTTTGTTAGTCCCTCCCGGTTGCCCGGTCCCGGTCCCGGTCCTGGTGATGAAACCGATCACCGGGACATCACACAACTACTTACAGCTGCTCACTCCAGTAGTTCGGCGGTCAGCATTCACAACCAGGAGCTCTGTTTTGCTGTTCCTAACCCCGCCCGCCCTACTAGTCCCAGTCGGCCCAGGTTGCGGCAGCAGTGCATCGGACAGATAACAGACCACAGGGCGCAATGGCGGGGAGCAGCAGGCTGTGGCCACCGGCGCCTCTCGGTCACCGCGCGGTGTTCAGACCCCCTCGTGCAGCGCTCTGCCGCGTGTTTACGTGTCTACTGCAGCGGCAGCTGCCGCTGGGAAGTCGGTTTTAGCGCCACATAATTTCCGCCCTTAATTTCCAGTACGGGAAAATGTCTGAACTACCGTCAACAGGCGGTGCTAGAGGTTTCGTGCCGCATGTACGGCCGCCTCGTGGGTTGCGCCTGTTGACTGTTGACTGCGTCTTCGGGCGCCTGGCTGCTGCGCTATCGTGTGCTTGCCGCGGTCGCTGCATGACTGCTTGCCCTGTTGTTTTTCGATTCCCGGAGCAGCTAAGTCCCGGTCCCAGCCAGGGTGCCGTTTCCCAGTTTTGCGCCAGCAAAAATGGCCTTGTTACATTATACGGCAACTCGATTAAATCGACTATAGTTCAGAACTGCTGGCAGTGCGGTACCTCTCAATATAAAGATGCGAGTTCGGAGTGCTGTCACGATTCGGACATGGATTCGGACGGGGCGGTCATACATGCATGGGGCGGCCAATACCGGCCTTCACAGACAGCCACCGGCAACTGGCGAGGCGCATCCACAAAGGAGCTATCGAAATGTACGGCACCAGCAGCGGCGGCCGCATCTCCGAAACCGGCTATAGTTGCCGGGAAGCCGGCTACCGTCCTCCGATCACCTGTTCCTGGTTTCGTAACACAGCCAGCCGCGCATCAACTTCCAATTCTAAGCTCTTCAGCTGCCTCCTAGCTCTTCTTTCCGCTTCAAGTCATTGATCTCCCGGATCGCCTCACCTTCCGTACCGCCAGCCAGCTCCTAGTGCTGCAGCCTTTCAGCCCTTACATCCAAAGAGACATGACTAAGCATCAGCCACCCTGTGTATGTGCTCGCTTCCGTTTCTGCTCCTGACCTCCCAAACCATACATATATCTGATACTTGCTCATTGGCTACTCCTTGTGTTTTGCCCTGGCCTTTAGACGTATTGTTCCGCGTTGCGAAGTATTTTGATTATCGACCTTTTGGATTCCTAGCCGACCCTCAACGCTCTTAAAACTCTTTATTTTCGAGCATCATTACGTGTGTGCACATGTATATGTTCTTCTCCTAGCAACATCGCCGCTACGTGGGCAAGCGTCTACACGCATCACGTGGTACCCTCGTGGTGCTCATGATGATCAACCTTAACCGCATGCTGCACGTTGTCTGTTCCCATATCCGGTACACCATGCAAAATAGCAGAAGGCAGTGCTCTCCTAGGGTGTGCGCAGAAAGGCCAGATGTTTGGTTTACCCATCCCGTCCACATGGGCGGTAATCCTTGTCTGTAACTTTCTCCCAGTAGTCTTTTTTAAGTCACCCTCCAATACCGAGAGAGCAGGAGCTCAGTCCGCCAGGAGTGAGAACTGCAACAAGCTCTAGGATTTCCATGATAAGTTACATTACTTCATTCATTTACAACAGGAAACTTCATAGATGATGCATGGCAGCCCGTATGGCAAGGCAATGCGTGCTATCTGACTCAGACAGCGATGCTGCGTGACTACATGTATGCCTTTTGCAATGGCTACATCACCATTTTTAAAAATTACACTGTTACTGTCTTCCCTGGCCTGAGTTTCCGTCCATCCAGTCAAGTTGTTAGATGTGTCAATCGTTGTACAATTGCTGGCCGACGAACATCCTCCATCCAGTCGGCAGTCCTTGCAGACGGAAAGATTAAACTGCAAAACGCTTTTCAATAAATTGATAACGGGTCTTGTCAATGCCGTTTATTCTGAGGAACGTGAGAAGCTATGAGGCGCCTAACCGGCGCCTTCGCGGACTCCCTTATAGCTTCTTACTATGGACAATTTTGTCTTTGTTATCACACTCGGAGCTGGACCTCGGCAGCGCAGAAACCGTCACGGTGGCGGATGAACTTAACCTTTTTAAGGCGCTAATCAACGACAACGTTTCAAATATCGTCATTTCTAACAATATCAAATTAAATGCCGAATTTTGGGGGAACACATGGAAGGTTGTAAACATTACGCGCAACCTGACAGTGGAAGGGGCAAGAGTCGAATGGGAATCTTTTATTGAACTGGATTTTAGCTTCATACAGTCCAAGGTGAGGTTAACCTGAATAAAGTTCTTGAGCTTGCGTTTCGTCTTATTTTGCGTGTTGATGTATGCGTCATATATGGGTTTTTGCATAACCTCCCTTCGTAGTTAAGCACAGTAAGGATGGCGAATATGTATGTCAGTCATGGTATCTCAGACAGCTCCCTGCTGCTTGTAGGTGGTCCTTTCGGATGGCGTCACCTTCACTTTTCGGCATCTGACGCTCCTGAACGTCTTCTCACGCTTACAGCCATCATATGACTTTTTTGCGACCTCCCCCTCCTCATCTACTGTGGCATGGCTCGAAGTCGTTGACCGTCTCATGCTTTGCATGCGCTTCGAGGTGAGTCGTCTGTCGGGACCGGGAGCTTTACTCGCCACTGCACACGCCTGCACCTGCGCTGAGCAATTTCCTCCCCACTGCAAACGAAAGCGTTAGGACCGTTGTGCGAGCTTGGCAAGATGCAAGTGCATAACTGACCCTCTACAGCCCTGCTGCAACTGCTTGACTGCATGCCCGAGTAGTGCACATAATGCATGCGACACCCTGCCACACGCCGCCGAAATCCGCGTTTTTCATCCCTTACGTTGCATCTCCTCCCCCCCCCCGCGCTGCAGTACGCTGTACCAGAGTGGGGCGCCATGCCCAGATCGCCTGCTTACCCAGGACAACAGAACCTGACTTTCAACAACGACGTATTTTGCAACCGTGCAGCAAGCCGCTGCTTCTCGCCAGTTCTCCATGCTGGAGACTGGGCCACGAACGGCAGCTCAGGTGAGAAGAGAAGAGAAGAGAGGCGCATAAGCCCCCTACCTAGTGAGAGTGTGTGTGTACTCAGGGGCCCCTGAGGAAAGCATACTAGTGCAATAAAGTAATAAAGTGATTCGCCCTCGCGTGTCTACCCAGGACAGCGCATTGTCAGTATTTTCAGTATACAAGTGAACCTGCTATATGTTAGAAGAACCTGCTAGCGAAATTCAATGCGTGGGCCGACAAGAAGCACGTACGACTTGCGCCGCTTCGGCTACAGGCGATCGTACATGAGTTAATGGCTGGCCAGCGAGCCAGTGGGCCACATTCTCGTTTCGCAAAACTGTTGGCGGTTGGTAGTGAGGTTAGTTTAAGGATGATGGGTTTGTACTTTCTTACGATTGGGAAAAAAATACCCTTCACTTTTTTTGCACTCAGTAACGTTTAGTACGATTGGTCTGCCGGGTAGCGGCCGCAGGGTGAAGATATGAACCCCCTGTCCCACACATCATACATACATACAGGTTACCAGCTGGTGTGGTCCAACAGTATCCACATTTGCGACGGATTCGTCACTCAGGTGCGGGTGTGGCCCACGGGTGTTTCGGGCGCTTGGCTTGGCTTGGCGGGGTCCGAACGGGGTGTTATTAGGGATGTGAATTTCAGCTGAAATGGGATTTGGCAACCTTAATTACGTAAACTTAAAAGCGTAATCCAGTAAAATGGTGTAATTTACGGTTTCCACGGCCTGGACCCTGGACCCTTAATTTAAGGTTGCCGTACTAGTGTACGATTTTGGATTTTCAGCACAATTTCAGCGTTTTCACATTCGCAACACCATTCTTTACTTATTTACATATTTTTTTGACATCAGTTTGGCGCTTGTACAGCCGACTTGGCGACTATCGCCTTTCCAATTTGAACCATGGCTGACGCGGGCACGACCCCCGGCACCGGCGCGTATGGCGGCGTTGATACTGCAACACCACCAAGCATTGAAAGCCGTGCATACATACTCGACCACGACACCTAATACCGTTGCAAACCAGGACTACTTGTCGTGTTGACTACTTGACTTGCTCTTTTGCTTGGTTGGGCGGAGGGAATCGCGGGTTTCAACCTGCATTGTTGGACTCTTTCACGCTTCCCCCATGGCTGGGTTTGTGGTGTGTTCGGAGGAGTGGACGGGTCAGCGGCACCCTGGTTTGCAGACCGGCGGAACCTGTAAGACCCATGGGTCTGTTAAGCTTTTAAGGTTTCTACCCCTCCTGAGGGACCTTATTACGGCGAGCCCTTCATTCCGTAAATTACGGCCAGGTCCAACCTTAATTACGTAATTACGTAACCTTAGTTCCTTAAAAACGTAAACACGTAAAAGCGTAATTCACATCCCTAGGTGTTATGCTGAGCGTGCTGGGCAGGGATGCGCCGGGCCGTGGCGGTTAGTACGGCCAACTGAATTCGGCCGGCTTTGGCCAATCGGGCCCAATGCTATCGTGGGGAGAGTGGGGGCAGCAGAAGGGCCTCTCGACAGCGCGTGGACGGACTCAACCCCGGAGTCATATATGTCATATATAGGAGTGTGGCTGCCTATGTGGCTGGCGGGGTGGCTGGCTCTAGCTGGCCCAGGCACGGGGGGGCATTTGGTGTTGGCATGGGTGCAGTGGTCCGTGGTAATAGATAGATTGTAAGCAAGCTCTTAAGCTGCTTTTAAGACTGCAGGGCCGGCTCCTAGAGCGCAGGTAGAGGTTTCCTATTGCCGGATGACGGTAAACGTGTTACTGGTACTCCAGATGTGCTGCCGGTCGCCGGCAGCTACAGCAGCTACAGCAGCTACCTCCACCCAACTGTGGGGTTTGTGCCCCGCAACAATGAATGTGCCCCGCGTGTATCATCCCACCCTCGTGTACCCCGGGAATGGGACTGCTTACTGTTGCTGCTGCTGCGCAAATGGCTGTCCTGTCCTGTCCTGTCCTGCAGGAATGCATCGATGAGCACGGGCCGTACTTGTGCTACGCACTGTCGTTGCAGGTACGTACGTATCTATTGACGTATGTAGCTATGTATGTATGTATGTATGAATGTATGTACATGAAGTTAATTGTGTTTAGATAGATGTGGAGCAGGGTTCTACACTGACCTTCCTGAAACTTGCGGGCTCCCCCGTACCTCCCAAATTTTCCTTACGGAGGGGCCCCCGTACCAGGCTCCTGTACCGGCCGAAAACCTTACGGGGCCCCCCGTAACCCCCGCAAAACCTTTACGGGGGCACTGTCCTTGGCTGAAACGCTATGGAAAGTGACGCTTTGCATTTTTTGACCTGTAAATCGTTATTTTCTCGTGAACCATTACACTCGGGGACACGGCACACTCAGTGAAAGCCAAGCGCCTTGGCCGCCGCGGCCGCCCATCCCTTCTGCTCCTCTTTCTCGTCCTCCTCCTCCTCATCAAAATGTTACAGACCAGAAGTTATAAAAGTATTATGAAAAGTTAAATATTGCAATATGAATTATGTCTGCCAAGTGTGTGGCCTTATCCTTTATATGGTCAAAGGGTACTACAACCTTGCACGGCAGTCGGCAATCGGTCCGTCCTCTCCCCTACGGGGGACTTTACGGGCCCCGTACGGCCTCTTATAAACCCTTAAAATCCTTACGGGGGCCCCCGTAACCGGCCTTCGGCCGGTCCGGGGGCGGCCCCGTACGGGGGCGCTTCGCGCCCCAAAATCCTTACGGGGGCCACCATAAAGTCCTACGGGCCCTTACGGGGATACCGAAAAAAGGCCAAAAACTTACGGGCCCCGTACGGGGTGTCGAACCCTGATGTGGAGGCACAGCAGATGGCTAGATGCACGTTGTGTGTATTGCACGCTGATGATAACCCCATGGCCACCAGCCAATCACGGAGATAGCAACGCACAAACGTACGAATATTCCGTTTGCCGTACACCGGGCACAGTACTGCATGTACATATGCAACATGCAACGAAGACAGTGGGTTCATTCCTTCAGTGGCCGAGTATTAAACCCTACACGCCATGCAAGCGGACGCACCTTACCCCTAGCCTGAGGTCTCCAACGCGCTGGCGCGCGGCCATTCAACTATGAACCTGCCGGTGAAGATACGAGATGTGAAAGAGCGCTCCGCTGTTATTAAAATTTCGTGTCATCTGTTCAACCCTGTGTATTCCGCCTGTGTGCTGGTGAACAAACACTCGCACACATCCCCACAGGGGCTTGTTGCGCAGCGCACAGAGGAGCAGCATCAGCAGTCGCAGTCACAACAACGAGCTCCGCCATCGCCACAACAGTTGCAGACAGCCGGCACCCTGGACGGAGGGGGCGGAGGGGGCGGAGGACTTCGAGGTCCACCCCGAGTGGGGGTCCTTGCTGGATGCGTCGTTGCGGGTGCGTGAGCCGCGCTCGGGGGGGGGGTGAGGAGACCCGGTAGGTAGTTCACAATGGGGTGGAACAGCCGCTTGCTGCTGTTGATGCCGCTGTTGCTGTTGCTGCTAGGATTGGGACTATTTATGAGGAGGACTTTTGGAACTTTTAGGTATACTAGTGCAGTGGAGCGATTGGTGAAAACGTTGGAGGTAGGGAGCTTTGTTCGATCCACATTGTGTTCCTGCTTTTTAGGGTGCAGGAAAGGTGGGAGGGCGGGTGCAGTTTAGGAGTTTATGGATTTGGGTTGTGTTCAGGGAAGCGCGGGAAGCTCTTAGCTTAGTGCCCCCCCAGCTGTACGGTCACGGACGCGGGAGACAAACCCAACCCGAGCCTGAAACCACCAAACACACACGCACACGCACACGCACCACCCTGTGCACCCCAGTGGATGTCCGTACCTTCTGTCTCTTTCTTCCTGTGCCGTGAATAGCCCAGCGGAGGGCCCTACAGCTATATCCGACGGTGCCCAGGGTATGCTTGCCTTCGTTTGTCGCCCAACCACAAACCAACCAACCGCCCAACCAACAACTTGATGGAAGCAGGTGTGTTGGTTATGGCGGCCGCTGCGTGGTTTCTCCTGCTGGTGGCGCACCGCCGCACGACCACATCGCGGGAGTCGCGCCAGGGAGGGGCGCCGGGGGGGGTGCCCGCGGAGGGCAAACCAAAGGACGTGTGCACCGGCGGCGGCGCACTGGTTGTCGGCCCCAAACCCCCCAACGAGTCCTGTCATCTGCACAGTACGGCAGACCTTGAGGCCGCTTTGCGTGGTACGGCATCCGACGGCTTGAGAGCAGATGCCAAGCGCCCCGAGACATTGACGAAATCCCCTGCCATGGTGGTAGTGTCGCACGGCAGGGACGTTGTACGATTATGTCCGCAGGATGCCGTACCATTCGGGGTTGTGACCATCGCCACGGATGGCGAAGTCGCGCAACTGGAGGTCTCCACTACCAGCACTACTGCTACTACTACTATTACTACTACTGCTGCTGCTCCTGCGACTGCTACCACTGCGGCGGCTACTGTCGCTCTTGCCACTGTTTCATCGACGCCACGCTGCAGTGGCGTTGGCGGGTGTGGTGGCAGCAACACCGCCCATGTCGGTGCACCCGGCTCACGCACCCAGCCGGTTGCCACCGCCACCGCCACCGCCACCGCCACCGCCACCGCCACCTCGGGCGGCCGCTTCACTGACAGCAGCGGCGGCGGCAACAGCAGCTGCCTGAGCTCCGCGTTGCTGGTGCTGCTACGGCCCCGGGTGCCGGCGCTTCACAGCGGCGGGGGCGGTGGCGGCGGTGGCGGCGGCTCGGTAGCTGCCGTGTTGGCGGCGGCGGCGGCGGCAGTGGATGCGCCTCAGCATGATCAGCAGCAGCAACAGCGGCAGCAGCAACAGCAGCAACAGCAGCAACAGCAACAGCTGCAACAGCAGCAGCTATCAGCAGGCACTATTCCAGGGGGCGAGCGGGGGGCGGTAGTCGCGGCTGCTGCGCAAGAAGATGTGATGTTGGGGCGGCTGCTGGGGGCCGGGTCGTTTGGCAAGGTGAGTGGGTGTGGGTGTGGGTGTGGGTGTGAGCCTGGAGAAGTGTCGGGTGGAGGGGGGGGCGAGAGAAAGGAAAAGAAGGTACAGAGCCTTGGAAAGCGTGATGCGCCGGGGGCCGGTGCGGGTTGCGGACGTGGCGTTGGACGGAAAGGGCCCGGATGTGTGCAAGGGGGAGAAAGCAGCAGGCGAGGGCGGTCAAGGAGGTCAGCGTCCAGCTAGGTGGCGAGAGATGTGTGTGGGGGGGTGCTGATGTGATGCATCTTGAAGGGTGAGGAAATGCGGGGTGGCGGATGGGGCTGAAGGGGGGAGGGAGGGGCTGAAGGGGGGAGGGAGGGAGGGACTCGAGAAATCGGGAAAAGGCCCTCAAAAGTGAAGTGGAGGCAAGGAGAGGATGTACCCTCTGAAAAAGCAAAACCCTAAAACACCAAATATGACCCAGGAAAAATATTCGAATTGCGATATTATTATGATTTAATCTCCTGAAATTATAATCTTAATATAACCTTAAAGCTTGGGAAGGAAACCGGGGTTTTCTGCAATATACGACGGACGAGCTTTGCGTGGTTCTGGAGCCGGTGGCCTCCTTTTTAAATGCGGAGCACCTGTATTTGTTACTTTTCGGAGACCTTTGTAGCACACTACGGGCCGTGTTGGTGTTGGGTGTTACGGCGTATTTGTGAGGCCGTTTGCCGCTCCCGTCCGACGGCACATCAAATTCCCTTCCCCATCCCTGCTCTGTTTATTACCGCCCCGGTAGGGCGGTGGTGAGCTCAGCCGTAACGTAGTCTTTGCAGAAATCTCTAACTCCTCTCTGTGCTCTTTTCTGTGCGCTTTTCTGCTCCCGCCCGCGACCTAGGTCTACAAGGGCTCCTGGCGGGGTTTAACAGTGGCTATCAAGGTGTGTGTGGGGGGGGGGCGGGGAGAGGGGGCTGTGGGGGCGGGGGCGACGGGGAGAGGCGCGAGGGGGTGAGGAAAGGGCGACGGGGATGAAGCGGTGAACCCATCCATAGTCGGAGGTCCGCGGGGGCATAATAGCGGGAATGCGAACATGATGCCACTGATGGATGGGTGTTGATGGGTGTGTTTTGGTGACCATTTGGAGAATCGGGACCGGCGGGTCCCCCCCGCCCCCTTCTCCCTTCAAAAACGCCTTTTGGTCAGTTCTACGACTGGTACACTCTTGCCCTGGCAGCAGCTTCACTCGTTCGTGTTTCGTCTTTCCCCCCCTTTCCCCCCTTTCCCCCCTTTCCCCCCAAATCCCACTCCCCCAGGTCATCAGCCACCACGACCGACATAATACGTTGGAGGCCATAGAGAATGAGCTGCGACTCAGTCTCAGCTTTGACCACCGTAACATCGTACGATCGCTGTCGTACATCACATGCACGGTATGTCGTACATGAGCTCCAATCCAGGGCTGCTGGGTGGGATACGGGGGGTTATGGGGGGGGTGTTTTGCAGCGGGAGTGCAGCCGCTTGTGAGCTGTGCGGGCTATGGTGTGAGCTGTCGACGAGTGTCTTCTGGTACGACGTCGTTTGGGGAGTTTTGCGCCCGGGGGGGGGGAGGAAAGGGGCACGGGTTAGCTGAGAGCCAAACACCGTAACAAAACACCTTTTCGTGCGTGTCTGCGTGCTTGGCCGCGTGGCCATCAATACGAACGCACCTGATTGGTGGAAGAATGGCCTGTTTAGGAAACAGAAGGACGCCGCCCTGCCTCGCTTCCGCTCGCTGTGTGTGTTTATGCACATGTCGTACACGTGTCGTATGCGTGGTTTACAGGTAGATGCGGACGGCAACCCTACTCTCTCGATGCTCTCAAGGGAAAGCGAAGCCCAGGGCGCGGCTGCAGCGGCGGCGGCAAGGATGGCGGCGGCGGCGCCAGGGGTGGCAGCGGCGGCGGCGCCCAAGCCCGGTCTCCACGACGGCCCTGGCCCTGGCGGCGCCGCCGCCGCCGCCGTTGAGCTGCCCTCCCTGAGCACTTTGGCGTTTAGGGAGGGCAGCGCGTCGGGTCGACTGGACGACTTCTATGCTGCCATGATGTACGACGGTGCCTGCGGAGCCGGCAATGCCGCACAGCCGCAGGCCCCTCAATGTGGGACTGTGGCGGAGACGTGGGTTGTCCAGGTGGGGCGGTGCGGATGGAGGTCTGGAGGAGTGGAGGAGTGGAGGCGGTTGTCTTGCCGTGCTTTAGGCCGACCGGACTTCGATCCCGACGAGAAGCATGTTAAATTAAATAATTTTTAATATTAATATTTATTTTATATTGAATATATTACATATAAATAGTATTTATGCTTTCGTCATTTAATGTACATGGAGCAGTTTGGTTGAGGTAGTTGAGGTGGTTGGAATCTCTGTTTGGTATCCGGTATGTGCACATACCGGCAGGTGAAGGTTTTTTTGTGCGCGCGTGTGCGTGCGTGTCTGTATGGAGAGGGGAGATTCCCCGCCCGGATGGTTGTGTAGAACAGTAGAACAGTACCACAGTACAACAGTAACGTTTCTTATGTATGCATGTATGTAATATTTTACATCCGATCATCCAAAATATCGAACGGCGTGTAAAACCCCCCACCCCACACCGTACGGCACCACCTCCCCCCCCCACTAACCCCCTCACCCCAATACGCACACAGGAGTATGTGGACCGGGGGCCCTTATCTGCGCTGCTGAAGCAAGGCGCCATGCGGCGGGTGACGTCATCACCGCCCGACAGCGCAACCCTGCCTCTACTCCGCAGCGTCGCGGCGCCTGCGCCCCCCGGGGCCTCCTCCCCCTCCCTCTCTCCATGCCCCTCCGCCCCGCGCACTGCCCTTCCGGACATGCAGCGAGTGGTGTGCTGCGCGCTGGATGTGGCCCGGGGGCTGGAGTACATGCACAGCCGCAATGTGTGCCACGGGGACCTGAAGCCAGGTGTGAATCGGGGGGGGGGGGCCCGCCGATCACATGCAAGGAAATCTGAATATAAACTGCCGGCACTTAAGAGGGGGAAGAGGGAGGGGGGCGCTGAGCTGTATAGGCCAAGTTTGCCACCTGTGAAAGCGCTAAAGGAGTCTTGGCTTTTACGGTGATAACGGTGCATAACCTAATTAATAAATTCTTGATTTTAGTGTTTAACAAGGATTTGGAGTGTAGGGTTTCGGAGCGCCATGGCGCCACCACCAAATTGGGAGCCATTTTCCTCCGGGCGCCCCGTCCCCGTCCCCGTCCCCGTCCCAAATCCCCACGCGCTACACGCTACATTTCACACCCTCACACACCCCCTCGATCGCCCTGGCAGCAGCTTCACTCGTTCGTGGTTCGTCTTTCCCCCCTCGATCACCATATCCGTAAATCCTTGCATCGAAATCATTTGGTCACAACGCCAGGAGGCCCTCACTGCCCCCTCCCCCCTAACTGGTCCATCGCCACGTGCGCACGTATTGTGTCCAAATTAGGCAACATCCTGCTGATGGAGGACCCAAACAGCCCTTGGGGGCTGGTGGCCAAGGTATGTAGGAAAGAGAGGCGGGGGGGCGGGGGGGCCGGAGGGCGGGGGTGGGACTAGGCGGTCGTGGAAGGAACAGAGCCACGCGGCCCGCGTGTAAAGGTCGGAAAGAAGTCAGTGCATACAGAAGTGAGCCGAGCAGGCGATGGATGGTGTATGTTGGAAGTTACACCATCTTGGATGGCTTGGATGGCCCCTGGGGTGTTTGCGGATTGACCTAATATATAGGATGGATAGGGGCCGCCGCAGGCGTATGCTGGCGTATGCAGGCGTATGCGCGTGTGTGTGTGTGTGTGTATGTGTGTGTAAACCTGCGAGAACAGCATACCGGTGACCAGTGTTTTGTTTTGCGACTCCCAATTTTTTCGTCGCAGGTGGCCCCCGGGGGGGGGGTTGGGAAAACGTGTTTTGTTACTTGTTTGACGTAAAAGTAAACATCGACCCGTCCTGACAGTAAACATCTGGGTGACATCTCGCGACCTCCCCCTCCCCTCCCCCCCTTAAAACACGCACACACGCAGCTGGCGGATTTCGGTATGAGCCGTGCGCTGGCCACCGACAGCACCCACATCACCACCCGCAACTACGGCACGGTGGCATACATGGCGCCCGAGGTCCTGGGGAGTGGTGAGGAGGAGGGGGGAATGCGGGGGGGGGGGAGGAGGGGGGGGGAGGAACCCCCCGTGCTTTGAACCGTTATGAAAACACCCTCCCCAACCAAGAAACTGATAGCGCAACAACCGTCCACACGGACAGCAGCAGTGGCCTGGTTAATGATGTTTTTTCCATTACCCCAACCGACCCTTTTGACCCTTGACTCTGCAGGCAAGGTTGGACCCGCATCTTGTATCTACTCGTACGGCATCCTCCTCTGGGAGCTGGTTTCGGGGCGACCGCCGTACCAAGGCATGCTGCCAGGTGTGCGTGTGTGCGTCGCCTTGTATTGTCACATGTGTCACTATATGTCCTATTATGTGTGCACCCGAAGGGTTGCTTTCACTCCCTCAGGGAAAAAGGGGCAAGGGTGAATAAGGGGAGCCCTCCTTGGGGTTGACCCCTCCTACAACCCAGCCCCTAGAGGTGCTGTCCATATATCGATTTTATAAATTTTAGCAGCCTCCGCCGAAACGCCGCCAATTTTATGTTTGGCAGCGTTCCGGCGGAGGCTGCTACCACCGGTCATTGTATCACTACCCATCCGGTGGATGAACCTTTTAAGAACGTTGAAAACGCACTTCAACAGCGGCGTAGTGCGGCGGTTGCACTTGTCAGGCTCCACCAGCGGGTCGTGTGCCACTGCGCCCGGTGCTGGGAAGGAAAGCGGGGGTGAAATGGAGACACACACACACACACTGTGCAGCTCTGCGCACTCGGGACGCGGCGCGGAAAAAATGTAAAGAAAGGATGGTGTGAGCAAATCAAGCCATCAGCTGACCGCATGCAGCAGCTACATACAACTGTGGTTCTCCATCACGTTCCAAACACGAAACACGTAAACGCACACCACCTGGCATATCTGCTGCGTGAGGAAAGTTTTATATGTATATCTACAATAGTGGGTATTTATGTTTATATAAATAGCTCTCGACGACTTACCCACTTACATACACACATCAACCCGCGTGCCGCCGTACGTGCCGCCGTACGTGCCGCCGTACGTGCCGCCAGGCGACCCACCGCACTCTCGCCGCAGGACGTTACCCTCTGTCTATCTGTCTGTCTGTCTCTCTGCTGAGTTCCTTTCCGCTGGACGGCTATTTGCGTCCAGACCTCCGCTAATCCTATTATCACTAATGTCCCCCCCACTATTCTGTTGCCGTTAAATTTCTCACAACTGCAAACAACACGAGCCACAGGCCAGATTATAAAAAATGTGTTGGTGGAGGACTTGCGACCGGACTGCACCGCCAGCAACAACAACAACCATAACCACAACAACCACACCCCTGCCGCCACCACTGCCACGGCCACCACCACCGATGGCGGCAGTAGTAGCTGCAGCAGCAACCCCGGGGGGGTGCCTCTCTGGTACCTGGACCTGACACACCGCTGCTGGGACAAGGAACCCGGGCGGAGACCCTCGGCAGGGCAGGTGAGGTTTGATGATGAGGCGCGGCACTACACACACGCACACAACCACGCACTCAATAATGGGCGACATCCAGATCATCAACATGTCAGCATGATGTCATCAACAGGTCCGTGTCATACACAAGAGACACAGCAGCGTCCGCGTCCGCGTCCGCGTCCGCATCCCCCCCCCCCCCGGGATAACGGGCAGGGGGTGAGGAAGGGAAGGGGGAAACAACATCAGCGGCAGCAGCAGCAGCAGCAGCAGCAGCAGCAGCAGGTGACGAAAGCCTCTCACGATGCATCTGCATCCGCGGCATGAGTGCGCATATCGTATACGTTGTCGATATCCGTCGTACATGTGTTTATTTTTGGCGAGGTGCCTTTTGAGATGTCGTCATGATGACTACCTGCTGATAAGTCATCCGACCTGTGTATCGTACATATATATACCCCACACTCGTACAATCCCCTGTCGCTCCGACACGTGCGCATATACCACCTGCCTCCACTGCTGCCCTCGCACCCCCCTATCACATGCGCACATTCATACATACATTCATACATACATACATACATACATACATACATACATACATACATACATACATACATACATACATACATACATACATACATACATACATACATACATACATACATACATACATACATACATACATACATACATACATACATACATACATACATACATACATACATACATACATACATACATACATACATACATACATACATACATACATACATACATACATACATACATACATACATACATACATACATACATACATACATACATACATACATACATACATACATACGTTTATACGTACATATACGTACATACATACAGGTCGTCAAGGAGCTGGAAGGCCGACTGGCGACCCTGATGTGCCGATGAGTGAGTGAGTGAGTGGCATTCTGGACGAAGAAGCGTTCGGCCCGTGCCGCGCGCATTTACCTTGTCGACGCAGACGTCCGTACAGAACGGGTGTTATTGCCAGTGGTGCTTCAGAGGGGCCATCACACGCGGGGCGCGTTCACTGTGTCACTCCTCTTCTCGAGGCACCACCACCAACAGGAGGGGGCACCACCACCTGCATAGCGTTGACAGAAGACCATTGTGAGCTCTATGGGGCACCCCACCACGGGTAGGACCACCCTGCTGAGTAGGACCCTCGGTCAGCAGCGGCGTGGTGCTAGAAGGGACCACCGCCACCGGGAGGCATAGTTATTCGGGCGATAGATATTATTATTATTACTCTTATTACTGCAGTATTATAATCCGCAGCAAGTGGCAGCATGTATTAATCAAGAAATGATATAAAGATTAAAAATCCTTATCCGGACGGAGAAGTTCAGTGTTAGTACTGCAGTATGTACGGCGCTAAGTCTTCGCTCTTTGCTGTTAAGGCGTTGCTGTTAAAACGCTGCGGTGGGTGATGACCTCACGCACGGTTGGGTTTGGGCGGTTTTGATTCTCGTCGATTTGGGCAGTACGGCAGTGAGGCGTTTTTTTCCTGGCAGACGTGCGGGGCCATCAGCCGTGCGCTTTTTGGACGGGTGCGCGCGCGCGGCAAAATGCGCGTACGAGAGGGCGCACGTCTGTGGGTGTGACGGGCAGGGTTGTGCTGTTTTAGCTAAAAGGTATTTTCCCTGTGGTGGCTCTGGTTGCATTTATTATGCTCTATGTTTATCGCGCTTCCTTTTTTGATGTGTAGTACATGTGGTTCGCTGAGGGGTTGTTGGTCGTACTGAAGCAAAGTCGTCAAGCAGTCTTGACGCCTGCTGCTTGGGGTGTGTGTGGAGAGGGGGGGGGACGATGATAACAAAAGCTGCTAGCCCTAGGGTAGGGTTGGCTCCGACGACGGCGAAACGGATGACAGTGCCGCTGCTGCTGCTGCTGCCGCCGACGAAGAGGACCCTAGCGACCTCAGCGCGCCACTGATGCGCAGCTCTCTGTCTATCTTGAGCATAAAGGATGATGGGAGAGTTTAACGGCGCCGCAATTACTCGTCAAAATTTCAAATGTACTAAGCGGCCCGTGATGATAATGATGATGATGATAAGGTTGTGCGGCAGATAGAATATAAGGAAGGATGAAAAAGGAGAATTCTGCTATGGTATGTTGTAGTAGCCTATGCCTTGCATTGGCGTGTCTTGTCCTGCTTTGCCGCGTCTTGTTGAGAATGCGCGATTGGCGCGAGCACAGCTTCCTGCTCTGAAGTGATGTCCGGTGTGCACTGTGTTGTCAAATGTGGACTGAGGTGTAGTTCGTAGGGTCGTAGGGCAGGTGTAGAGCAAAGAGGCGCATGTTTTCGCCAGAGTGGATGCTGCGGCGTGGAACGCGGTGGTGGCAAATAAGAGCTGCGGGAAGAGCTGCGTTTGTCTAAGAAGACGAGGCAGGTCACCGGACCTGCTGGCTTGGCCCTGTGCATATAGATTGTGTGTGCCGTACTAAGCCGTACTATTACGAGCTCGTCTTCCCGGTTGGGCCTGTACGGCCTTCGGGGGCTGTCGGGTGCATACAGCATTCATTCACATGCATGTTGGTGTGGTTGGCGTGGCATTGGTTGTTAATGACTAGAGATGTCGCGGAGAGGAATGGGGGCAGAAACCAGGATGGGGAATCGATTCCATACATGTGTGCACTCATGTGCATATATAGTTAGTTATATGCGATTCGAAATCGTTTAATAAATAGTACGCGATTTGAAGCCAACGAGAAAATCAGCTAGAAAGGCCGTGGCTTGCTGAAGGGATAGCTGAAGCATTTTTCCTTAACCCTTGGCGTCATCCAACCGTCCAGGAGAACACGCGCATGGGATGTCTCCCCGTGCGTGTTCTGTTCTTTTCGGCTCTGTGGGGGCCGGGGCGCTACGTACGGAGGTTTGGCCTGTTGGCGCATTTTGTTGTTGCCGCTGCGTTCTTTGCGTTGCAGATATCCCAGATACCAGCGTGCGAATCGTCGGGCGAATTTTTGCGTCATAACTGTGCATCCATTTTCACCTCCGTCGTTCTCACGTCACCGCCCGCCACTCAAGTGAAGTGGTGCACCGACATTTCACTGCATTTCCGGGGGATATCTTGCCAAGATCCAAGATATCGCGAAGATGCAGGCGATGTAACTTATACCGCATCATCTATATGGGACGTGTACTTTCTATACATGCGTGATGGTGCCGTACGGCAATGCGGCCGACACGTTGCGGCTATCTGAGCTTCATCTGGCAGATGAATCAGTTTCCTTGTATATGTATGTGTGTGTACGTGCGTGTGTGTTTATTAGATATCTTGCCGAACCGGACCTGACGCTGGCCAGGGGCTGCTACCCAGCCCCAGAAAAAACAAGACCGCCGAAGCAGTCCCCCAGGGGTACGGGGAGAGGCGCGAGGGGCCGCTGTCCCCTCTCCTGCACGACACAAAAGAGCCTGAACCGCCGGATACCGCATACAGCGATACACACTGCGGTTGGTCTACAGAGGGAAAAAAGGAAAGTCAAGGCTCACGCTCTGCCAGGAGACTGCCAGAAGCAGCCTGCATCTATAGAGACGCTCTCGGCAAACTGCCCTTCCCAAGGGTCTATCTGCTGTTTGCTAACGGCATGTGCAAAAAGCCAACAAGCGCTGTGTGTGGCAATGTCATTTATTGGTAACACGTCCTACAGAAATAAGGTTGTAGGCTCCTCGGGGTGTTGCTGAAACGCCCACTCTGCCAGCTTTTATCTTCTTGCTTGCCGTACACAGCCGTTACAACAACATCCACAAACGAGGCCGCGTGCGGAATCATGGTCTGTGCAGTTTTCCCGGCTGTCGACTGCGCCCTATCTCAATCTCATCGTATAAATGCACGACTTCATAGTCAGGTAAAACCACCTCCACACCCTATTTTGCTGACACCGCACCACCGTACGCCAACCGCAGGTATAGGCGATAGCGCAAGAAAAACCCTAAACCCACAACTTCTCAACCCGCACGCATCAACTCCATATGTATCCTGCCTCCGCAAAGCAAGAGAGCCGTGAGATATTCCACACACACGTGCCACATACACAACACTACATCTATACCCCTCGTCATTCCCCTACCTGCCTGTGGAGCATCACGACCCTACCTTTTCTCAGTTGCTTTCCCTTCTCCTTTTCCGTACATTCGCAACATGCTCGGCAAGCACAACTCTGATGAACTACCTACCCACCGATGATGAACAGGCCAACGGGGTTGCACGTGGTACCGCACCGCCCCACTGTTGTATACTGCCAATATAATGCGTCCTCATGTGCGCCTCGTGCATGCATGTGTGTTCCAACATCATCCCCAGTTGCGCCTCACACACACACACACACACACACACACACACCTATCGCAATGCCAGACAGCACACCTGCACCAACCACACCATGACACGACGGACGTGAATTGTCTTCCGCACATTAAGTGCTCCCCCCCCCAACACCTCGCCGACGTCCTCATCGCCGCCATCATTCGTTATCGTGCGTGGAACGAAGGACGAATGGCGCCGGAATACGGCGACTCGGGAGTATTATTATGTGCCGTGTCCCGCCTTTCGCTTCGTCCTTCCCACTCAGGGCCCGATCCCCGCCTCCTCACCCGCCACCGGTTTGCGGTTGGACTTTGTGACCCTGGGGCCCTGCTGCTGGCGCTGGGAAGGAGGTTTACGGCGCAGCGGGAAACGGGGGATGGGGCGGCTGAAGGGAGCTCCCCACGAAGGGAACAAGGAAGGAGGAACAGTCATGTTGGGGAGCAAGTCAGAACGGGAAGTACCCGGATAGGGGCGTACCCGGCTAGATACTAGGGTACCAGGCGACCAGACATAGGCGACGGAACACGCGCCCTCCAGCTGCTGGCCTAGATAGCCGACGGCAACCACTGAGGCCAAGAGCGCGAGGAGGGAAGGGCGATGAGTGCGGGGGGGTGCATGAACGGCCCCAGATGCCGTCCACCACGGGGGCCCGCGACGGCGAGTTGTATGCAAGAGGTCGAGAGCGGCGATGTGCGGGTGTGTGTGTCCCAGCACATCGGAGGTTTTGGGGGAAGAAACGAAAGCCAACCCCTCATGCCGGTTGCTTCTCCCCTCCCCCCCCCAGACATACACTCACACTCACACTCACACTCACACTCACACTCACACTCACACTCACACTCACACGGCCATCATTTCCACTATTTTTGAAATATTATTATCATCGTAATTGGTGTTCAATTAAAAACACCAACTGCCAACAAAACACGAACACGAACCTTCATATCCGTTTGATGGGCGGCCAGGTCCTCCATCACCTCGCGTTCCATAGTGCCTTTCCGTACGACAATTGTACGGCGGTACGACAACACAGGGCACACAGGTGGGGTACGGATCACGGGCGGGTAACATAATTATGTTTTCAACACTCGCTGTAATTGCAAAAGCCATAACTGGATCAAGGACGCCGGGGGATTAGGGGATAAATACACAAGAGCCCCGCCCAGCATACATACATACACACTCACCCGCCGCCCTGCCGTACTCCCCCTCCAAATGTACGGACTCCAGGCTTGCATGGCCGTGGCTGGTAGGCTCGTGAAGGACCTTCCCGAAGTAGATGGGACAGCAGGCAAGGCCACGACAAGAACAAGCGGGAGGAGCACGGGGAGGTTATGGATTTATTCAGATCAGGGTCACACCCGCCCTTCGGTTGCAAGGCTCACGACAACACAACTACAGATACCTACTGTCAAACGGCCGTTTTTGCGGCGTAACAGCCATTAAGGGCGGTGCGGCCCCAGAGTCCGCTCAGCTAACTTGTGCTGCCTCCCCCCCCCCCCGTAACCCCCCTCGCCACCCCGCAGTCCCCCTGACCCCCCCCCTCCAACGGCCCCGACTCGCCTCATCGACGTGGTGACTGAAGCCCACCGCCTCCTTGGCCTGGCGGAGGGCGGCAAGCTCCAGCGAGTCCAGCTTGCCTGATGAGGATACGGTTGTAGGCGGGAAAACACGGGAGGGGAGTGTGGGTGAGTAGGTAGGTAGGTAAGGGGAGAAGGGAACGGCACAGAAAAGCGGCCTTCCACTGCCACTTGAGAAGTGGAGGAGGAGGAGGAATGAAAAGAGGCACACCGCGAAGGGACGGAAGGGCGGTACGACCTAGTGGGCCCCCCCCTCTCCCCTCACTCGTGTCCGGCTTCCCCAGCTTGAGGTGCCCACTGGCCGCACAGGCCTCCACGTCCCAGCCCAGACAAGGATCCAGATCCGCCATGTCGTGATGTACGGCACCTCCCTCCGCTTTGCCGCCGCCGTCGCTACCGTCAGGAGGCCGAATGCCAGTCGTGGAGCCCCGGGGGGCCGACGGGGCGGAGGCGGCGGACATGGCGGAGGCGGGGCCGGTGGGGGCCCCCCGGCTGCTGCCCGTGTCCCGGCTGGCAGGGGCGCCGCCGCCACCACCACCAACTGCCAACACACAGCAGAAGGCAGTTGGGGAATGCACGTGGGTGTCAGTTGGAGTGCAGTTAACAGTTAACAGATGTGGTTGTGTACGGCAGCGAGAATTATTTGTGACGGAGAGACCGTCCTCCCAAAGATTTATCAGCATCCCATCGATGGACTGGGTGACGAGCGAGGCGAGGTGGGCCACCGCACACCGCCACGTAGACAGTACAACATCGTGCAACAATACAACGTTACACCCTGATTGAAGGAGCTTTTGAGAGGCTCACCGGCTCCAGGCTCCAGGGCGGACGAAGAAGGCCTTTGCGCTTTATTTTGTACATTTAGTGATACATGCCGCGATGCCGCACATGTGCCCATGTGCCCAGGTGCCACAGGGTCAGGGTCAAGACACAGTCCCCATTTTCACCCCTTGGTGCACTCGCCAGGCAGTGGCTAGGCGGCCGTGGCTAGGCGGCCGTGGCGCCCTAAGCCATTGTTCCCGGGGGCCCTACGCAACAAACCAATAACTTCCGCTGCCACCTTTTTGGGGAGATCTGCAGGACCGACCGACCGACCGACCGACCGACCGACCGACACTCACCCGCGGCGGCGGTCTCGTCAGCGCCCGGTTCCGGAGCCCTCAGTCCATCACCATCATCCGCCTCCGAAACCAGGCGGAAGGCGAAAATGCTGGTGGGGGAGCGGCCTCCCGTCGTCGTGCCGCGAGAGTGCTCGTCCAGCTCCTGACAGGTAAAAAACGTTAGTTCGTTATGCAGTTGGTCAACGGACAGAAGACGTTGCGAGAAACCCCGGACAGGCGGATGAAGCATCCGAGAAAGCATCCACACAACCTCGACGACTGGATGTCCCCTAAAGCGCCCCAACCAAGGTTGGGGTGAGGGTCCTTAGGGTACTTAGGGCGGGCAGCGCCACCGTGGCAACGTGTTGGATAAAGCACTGGCCGCCAATCGCATGGAGACGCAGCACTACTACTACTGCTGCTGCAACGCGCACAATAAAGGAAATCCAATTCCGGTTGGGGGGCAAGAGGGTGCACTCTTGAAAAGTAAAATACCACATTACTGAGGACAGGATGTGAACAGGTCGTACCCTGCCGTACTCACCTCGAGTAGTCCTGACACGTAATGCTCGTCCAGCCCGGTGATGCGCGCTGTTTGTAAAGGGGGGGGGAAAGGCGTGTTTATTAGTTGGTTGGCTGCTTGGTTTGGGGTGCTTGCATTGCCATTAGGACCTGTTAACTGATTTGTGTAAATAAACTAAACTAAAATATTTTTAATAAATGGACATCTCACCACCACCGGGGAGCTCCCTATTGGGTGGGTTTGGGGGTTTGGGGGGTTTGGGGGTTTGGGGGTTTGGGGGTTTGGGGGTTTGGGGGTTTGGGGGGGGGGAGTCCCCGGACAGTTCCTCGGCCCCGTTACCTACCTCTCCCCTACCACCTTCCCAGGGGAGGGGGGCCGCGGGCGGAGGAAGCACTAAAAAGAGGACCGCATATCCATCCACCCGTCCACCCATCCACCCGTCCACTCATCCACCCGTTCACCCATCCACCCATCCACCCGTCCACCCGTCCAAGACTGAAGCCAACCCACTCATTCCACCTCCCCCCCTCCTGAACCAAATTCAAAAAAAGCCCCACTGCACCTACCGGTTCCAGATCCAGCGTGCGGCGGCTGCTCGTCCACCCAGCTGCCGTCATCCCGCGGCTGCCCCGGCGGCTGCGGGTTGGTGGTGGGGACGTCGCGGCGGGCGGCCGCCACTCCGTCAGCGACCCGCCTCGCTGTGGCGGCGGCGCCCGTCTCCCCCGTGCCGGGGTTGGGATGAGTGTCCACTGCGCAGGGGAGCGGAGGGGAGGGGAGCGGAAGAATTGCTATATGTTATACAGTGTATAACTTCCAATCAACAATTCCGTTCATGGAGCGAACAGTGGCCATGACGCGGCGACATTCCCCCTTCTGTCCCGAGCATACATACATACATACGTGACATCAAGTCCGCGCGAGCGGCCAGAGCCCATTAGCCCCGAGTGCAATCACACGTGCTCCCACGCCCCCACACATACACGGGGTATACACACGGGGGGTATGCGCACGCACACGCGCACGCACACGCACACGCACAGTCGTACATGTTTTTTCCGCCAGCCCCTCCACCCCTTCCGCCACATTTCTCCGCAGCTGCCATAGAGCTTGCCGCAGGTCCTGACGCCCCTCCGCGAACAGCACGTAACGCCAACCGAACCAGCAACTGAATCCGAAACCAACAACCTGCGGAAGGCGGGAAACCAGGGCGGGACAGGGGACAGGTACGACGAAGAGGGTTGGTAAGTAGCACAATTAATTACGAGTACGGCCCGGTAAATGGCGGTTGCTACTCCCTTCCCACATACTAAGCCCTCCTCACACACAAAACAACACGACAAACACCTGCTGCCCGTTAGCACCTCACCCCGCACACCCCTCGCTCCCTCTTTCATTCTTTTCTTGTTTTCCCGCTATTTCTACCCCTCCCGCCACCACTTCGGGCTTCAGCAACGAGGTGTGGCTTTGAACGTCAGCCATCATCGCCATCACCAGCCATCATCGTCACCGATATCATCATCACCATCATCGCCATCACCATCATCACCATCATCGCCATCACCATCATCATCATCATCATCATCATCACCATCATCAGGATTCTCCCGCACTCCAGTCGTCCAGTTACCTTTACATAAACAAAGTCCTCCCGAATGAAGAACATAACAGACAAACAACTCTTCCTCTCGCTCTGCCACCCCGCCTTCTCCTGCTCCCTACCTGTAGCAGCCCCGGCAGCAGCGGCACCCTCTCCACGCCGCTCAGAACCAGGTTGCTCAGGTAGCCCGCCACCACCAGCCCCACACCGCCCACAACAAACGTGCGCTTGTCCTGGAGCAAAAGTCAAAAAAGCAGAGGTGAGAAAAAATGGGAGTGAATTTGAGGCGGATGAAAACGAAGCTAAAGCCTACGGTGAGACATCCTTACGGTCAACCTCCAGAGATTTGCAACGTGAGCACGCGAAACAGCGCAAAAGTCAATTGCGCCCTTTTCCCTGGGAGCTGCTCCCGGCTGGTTCCGAGACGGGCTCCCACAGCGCCAAGGTTGCTACGGGCCCGCACCACACCGCCCATATACTTTTTCAATTGATGCAGGACGAAGCTAGCTAAGGCATGGGATTCATAAACGCGAGTTCGGTAGGCTGATGAGCGCTCTGCGCGAGAAAATAATTAATGAGGAAACAGGAGACCAATGAACGGGAGCCCTTCCCTGTGAAGCGACGAACATGTGCGTACTGCCATCGGCTCTATAGCAACGAAGCACGACTGATGACACCGCAACTTTATGCGCGCGCACTGCTGCGAATTCCGAAGCGTGTGAGAGAGTGAAGAGGTTTTACCAGCTCAAGCGCGCAAGGGCATACCTATCGTAAACGCAACTGGTTCTATAAGCGATGTGAAAACTTGTGAAATGGAACGGAAATGTTCCGTCGTGTGATGCCGCGGTCGGTGCTTGTGTGAAGCGCTTCTTTTCTTGGAGGATAAGCCAGGAAGCATGGCAAGCGAAGCCATGCAACGAGCCGGAACAGAATCGATGCACATGCAGCGCTGGAGTTAAGCACTTTTGTTGCCCTCTTCTAGAAATCAGCATATGCATGAACGGCACTTCGTATGGCAAGGCTAAACTGTCATGTCTTGTTTGACTGCATTATCGGTGTCTGACTCATGCGCAGTCATTATCGTCCGCTCACCGGCAAATCCCTCCACCAGTTCTTGCCGCGCTCAACCGCCTCCACAACGGAACGCTGCATATCGCGGACGCGCTCCTCGCGCTGCATCTCCTCAATCGCCTCCTCTACCGGGCTCTTGCCTTCGCTGTTGCTCATGATGTACTCGCGGTCAGCAATGTGTCCACTTGAGCTGCTGAGGCTGGGCGGCGAGTTGGGCATGGGCTTGGGCTTGGCGGTGTCAGCGGTGGTGGTGTCGGAGTCGTCCCACCGAAAGGCCATCACGCGGGCGCAGCAGCGGCGGCACCGACAAGGTGCACGCGATGCCCCTGTTGCTGCGAGAGGTGACGTCGTGATGGTGCGATGGCTGCTTCTGGGCGCCGCGCGCGCGCGCTGCAGAACAACAGCCGGTGATGCCACGATGGTTGCCATCGGAACGGAAAGCTGCAGTAGTATCTTGACTGTGATGAGTTAATTTTCTGTAAAATTTAAAGGATACTCTTTAAAGTCTTGACATAAAATGCCTCTTTTTCGTGCAATTTGCAAACAAAAGTGGTTCTTATTTCTTTATCAATGCGTATCTTGTCGGAGCTGCGGATCGAGTCATCCGTCCGTACCTCGGCCTGCTATCGGAACTTTTAACCGTAGGAACTCCTCATGGTGATCTATCCCGATTCAGTTTCACTTTTTGAAATTTGAGGCACGCGCGATCACATCTGGTTGATTTACTGTTGGGGGAACGTATGTACGCCTTGGGAAAACCTTACGATGAGCCCTTACTGTCGGACAGACCTATGGGGCAAGCAACGTTACGCTGTCAGAGTATCGCAAAACAAAAACTCACTGTCCGATATATGCACGCAGCAGAGGGCAAGCAGCAGGCAGCTGCAGAGCGCCCGCAAAGCGCATGCTTGGGATTGCGCCCTTGGATTAAGGCAATTACCGAAAGCTCTTTCCCGCAGCAAGCAGCGGAAATTAAGGAATATTATTGATATATAAGTAATACTAATTAAGTTATAAGGCTCCGCCGCGCCTCCTCTCATTAATGGTCATTTCGCCAACAGATGCAAAAAGAGGACGTAACGACATCTTGGAATATAACAACATCGGGACTTGGCCCACACCTTACGAAACGGTCCACAGCCAGGAAAGCCGCACTACTGAAGCTTCATATCACCAGCGTGCGCAGGGTCCAGGGCATGTCGTGTCATACGACTGTATGTAGCATCGACAAAACATGTAATGTAATGTTACAGAGTGGGAGGCTTCTGGGCCGCTTTATCACATTGTCAGTTCTACGATTTATCATCTTATAGCACCGTCCACCACTACCACACTATACTTCGCCATACGAACTGTAAGTCCAAGGCGGCGGGTCCAGCCATCTAGGACCCCTCCTCATCCATTCACCCGAACAACCGAAGAGACGGAGGGTTCGGCAATCGCCACCAATCTAGCGTGCGAATCTGGTCCATCAACTGCGACCTCAACTCCACATCTCAGCAGCTAGCCATAATCTCGCGCTCCCGACAAATTCGGGGGTCTCCCCAGGAATCGAACCCAGAACCTTAAACCGCGAATCGCAGTAGTGTCAACCCAGACCAGACCCAGACCAAAACATGTGCATACGGCAGACTGATATGGATTGGATTGGAACGCATCATCATCAAGGCAACGGTCAATTGCCAGGCAAAAATCAAAAGCTCATTCACACTGCAGTCGATCAGAGTCAATCACCTGAAGAGGCAGTAGAGGACCTCACATCATCACAACAGACAAGTCGGGTTTCGGCTTCCTCGAAGCCGGAAAAAGGGCGGGCCCCCCCTGCATCCGTACAGGCCGGTAGCTAGCGCGGCACGTGTGACAATTGATGGGTAGTGTCAACGCGGTGGGAGATGTGCTTTGTTGCAGCAGTGCTGATGGTGTGAGAGCTAAGCTTGCACCGGCGGAATCGTCAGCACCGCCAGCGGGCTTCACGCGAATCGCATCCATCCCGGGTGCATGCCGCATGGTCAGTGCGGCAGACCGCAAGTCGGAATGTCCGTGCAGGCAAATGGTAACGAAAGCTGGGTGAATTTCGGTGCTGTCTGTGATGTTTATCCCCGAAGCGCCAGCGGCCTCAGCAATCCGCCCCACAGCCGCGGGCTTCATCGGGGCACACCGCAACTCTTCGGAGGCCCCGTGCATTGGCCAAAGTAAATGTACAAACAAGCAGCTTGTGTATTTCATAGAGAAATGAAAGCAAATCATGTTGGCCTGCTGGTGGCAAGTCGGATTGCCCATGCCGGCAAATGGTAACACAAGCTGGGTGTTCGAGTTATCATACGCCGTCATCTCAGAGTTCCATTATGAGATACACGGCAGCTTTCGGGATGAAATTTAGCGCGAGAGGCGTTGATGTGACCTTTTGAGGTCAGTGAATGGAGGCAGCTAAACTTGTTTGTGCTCATACGGTCTTTGTTAGCTACATGGAAGCCTGAACATGGAAGCCTGCGTGGCGTTCCGAGAAGCTGGCTAGGGTAACTATGTGAGGGTGCTCCGCAAAATCGGGGAAGGCAGGATCTGCCGCACATTATACATACAGTCTCTTGCACTTGGATGTGTCGTAGCGTCTGTCTTGCAGCCACCCTGTGGACCACGATCAGGCTACCGCAGCTCGGTCGCCACCATGAAGGCAGCTGCTGATTACATCTTGTCACTTGGTGTTGGGATGACAGCACAGTGATGGAGCTGATCTTGAACTTGTTGGAGCAAGGGATGGATGGCAACAAGTGATAGGGAACGGAAATGTGGCGAGTTGGGCTAACGGGCGAGGGTGAACGGGAAGGATATAGGGTGGTAGGGAGCTGGGCGGGGCACGATCTCGCAGCTCACAGCAGTGCTGGGTGACGATGATGGTGCTGGTGCTGTATAGGGCTTAGCCCGGTCAAAAGAAAGCCATGACAGTTCGATGACAGTTTGATGGCGCCCTTGTTCGGGCCGCAGTTCCTCCTGTGAGCAAACATGACTCAAAGCATCTTAGACACTCAAGAATTAACTTCAAGATCCATAACGCTGTATCAATAGCTCTTGGCACTTCCGCCATGAGCAGATTACGTCAATCGCCCGCTTTGCGCATAAGCAAAAATTGAGCAGCGTCCTTCACGATAGCTTGATATGTTGTTTGCAAAGGGCTTGCACTGAGGAATCCTTGCTTCCGGGGACGTAACCAGGTGCAGAGGAACGGGGGTGGACGTGATAATGCAGTGACATACAGCTATAATATAAAAGTTTAATAGGCTAACTGTCGACAAAATGAGTTCACCGATCTGCACCTTACCAACACACCACCTGGATTTGCAGCTGTTGCGCACCTTTACCGGACGCCGTACAACCAAGCTGGCCTCTGACAAAAGTCACCTTCCATAGCACTTCCAGCTCTTTTAGAAAATGTGCACAACATCCGTTATATGATCGCTGGCTTTCACCCAACGTATGCGCCCCTCATTTTGGCCTGCTCCACCTCTGCTGCGTCCGTAAAAGCTGCTAGCTTCCTACATATGACCAGCGGATGAGGAAGCCTGAACAGCTGCGTGGAGTTCTGAGAAGCTGCTGTGGACTCTGCAAACGTTTGCAAGGTACTGTTCGTTGCAAAACCTTCACGCTGTAGCCGCCGCACTCCAGTTCCATTGCTCTAATTTATTACGTGGTTGGCTCAAGCATTTATTTAACGAACCCCTGCTGACGTTGCTCCAGGCACAGCGTCGCCGCTTCACGGACATCGACATGCCTGACTCGTCTGCTGACGGCATCGTGCTACTTGCGGCAACTCAATGTTTTTGAGGTGAGGTGCTTGTCTCTCGTGCTCATGCATGGATATTTGAAGCATCAAGGTGGCTTTGTCGACGGGCTTTCGACGGGCATGTGCTCTCATATGCTCTCGCTCTGCTGCAAGAGTATGGACGTATGCGGTGTTTGAGCGTAATCCCGACAATTTTTATGCTTACGCTGTGTAAGGAGCCTACGAAGGCTGAAAGCTAGGCGGTCTGGCAGGAAAGTACACGTCGTTAGGCGAGACATGACCACTTCGTCCGATGTCCGTGACCTTCCTCGCGACAGAGACGACTGCTCATTGGAGTTGCCCAAGACCTTCCAGATCGACCGCATTCCACCTGGCAACGAGAATCTCTGCGTACACCACATTTCAACTCTCCAAGACCCCAGTGCGATGTTGCGTCGGCGTGAAGCAAGGGCCCCCATTGTCAACGCTTCTAATCAACGCAGTCAAGCTCACATCGTCTTCCGCTGCTGGTGAGTGACGCCGGATGCACAGTCGTCCGTACATGTCGTACGTTAGTTAGAACGCGCCTAGATTTCCGGCCGTGAGGCCGTTACACGTCGTATCAAGGTCGGCCATCGTTCTTGGATTCTATGGGTGAAGGCGCGTTGCAAATGGATAGACGAGTTGGTGACGGAGGGGGATTTCGGTATGAAATTGTTGTACTTGGTAAGGTACGGCGTGTAGGGAGTACGGCATGAAGGTCTTTCCCCGCATGTTCACTGCGTGGGTGCCACTTTGTGTTCGTTCGTGATGTAGTGATGTCGTACATACGTTTGTAGCAAAGTTTCTTGCTGTGGGTGTTTCGTGGCGCGGTGTTTTTCTCCTGTCGTGCCGGCAAGCAGCAACAGCGACAACGACAGCAAAAGCACAAAGGCAGCAAACTGCAAAGATAAAGTCAGCAAACACAGATAGAAGCTGCAAAGCCGGCCGATGGTTATTGTTGCGGTCTTCAGTGTCTTGTATTTGTGCGCAATTGTATGTATGTTTGTATGTATGTAGGTGTTCAAATGTGGGTGAGAATGTGCTCTCGCGCGCGCGTGTGCGTGTGTAGTTGTGTGTAAGAGTATGTGTGTGCGTGTGTGTGTGTGTGTGTGTGTGTGTGTGCGTGTGTGTGTGTGTGTGTGCGTGTGTGTGTGTGTGTGTGTATGTGCACGCTCACGCATGTTTACGTATGTGTGGGTATGTCTGGGGGTGCAACTGTTTAAATTGTGATGGAGAATTCGAAACTGCCCGCGATCCGCCTGTGTGCTTATTAGTATGTTTCTGCATTTTGTGCGCAGCTGCTCATGTTGTTTTGCCGTGCAAAGTCTGTGCTCGTTGCGTCCCCTGCTAGCTGATTAACAGCGTGTGTGTGTGTATTTCCCCGCCCACCTCCCGCACGATCCCCCCGCCGGTCTGAGCGAGCCTGGGCGAGGACTTACGTCAGCGTCTCATCGTCGGCCGCCTCATCGTCGGCCGCCTCGCCGTCGGCCGCCTCGCCGTCGGCCGCCTCGCCGTCGGCCGCCTCGCCGTCAGCCGCCTCGCCGTCGGCCGCCTCGCCGTCGGCCGCCTCACCGTCGGCCGCCTCGCCGTCGGCCGCTTTGCCGTCGGCCGCCTCGCCGTCGGCCGCTTTGCCGTCGGCCGCCTCGCCGTCGGCATCTCGCCGTCAGCTTTCTGCGTTTCCACGTCACGGTTTGTCGTAACTCCGGTGAGTCACGCGCTAGTTAAACGCATCCCTTGTCTGTTCTGTGCATTTCCTTGTTGACGTTGCCTTATGTACGTCATTGTACAATTTTGCAGGGCGTTACGTCTTGTTCGTTAGTTGGTTGTAAAGCGCTGTTGTCTGTTGTGGGTTTTTGTTGTTGTGCCGCATGCGACGTGCTTGTGCAGTCTTATTTTGTTTGCATCATAAAGCAGATCATGGCCGGGCAGCAGATCAGCAGCTGATAGGCAAAACAGCAGATCAGCAAACATCTAGGAAA